GCTAATGCTGCGCTGCGCTATGCGGCGCTAAGGTAAGCCAAGCTATGCTAAGCTAAGCTAAGCTAAGCTAGGCTAGGCTAAGCTAAGCTAGCCTAGGCAAAGCTAAGCTAAGATGAAATAAGCTAAACTAAGATGAACAAGCAACGCTAAGCTAAGGGGACGTAACCGGGGGAACCGCAGGGCGGATGCCGGGGGAACCGCCCGGGGCGGGCCCCACTGCCCAGCCCCTTTAAGATAGAGAGTAAGAACCCTGGTAGGCAGGGCCTTGGTAGGGACAAAAAACAGCCTGACCGAATTACTCTGCAAGAGCTTATTTCTTGGAAGCAGACCTGCCTTCAGAAATCGTTATCACAGGGTGGCACAACGTTTCCATCGGGCGCCCCCCCCACAACAGTTTTGGACTCGTCGGACTTCCCTCTCCTTTTTCCCCCCAGTGGCGTGCGATCCCCCCTCCCAGGAGAGCCCAGAGCCGATTCGAGAAGTCGGATCGGCGATGGAAATGCGGACATCGGCAGCCATGTCGGGAGGAATCGAAGCGGCGGAACTCGGTAGACAAGCAAGGGCTCCACTGAGAATCAAGAATCCGACTCAGAATCCGCGGTCGAACCGAACTGGAATTGGAACCGATCGACGTCGAATCGAATCGAGTCGGCGGAATCGACATGAAACCTGGATTGGGGAAACCCACGAATACCGATACCGCTACTCCCGGGACCTCTCCCGGGGTGCGTTCTGACCAGCATGTCGAGGCGAGTCCAGCGGTGGCGACCAGAGCCCCCAAGGAAGCCCCAAACAGGGAAAACGCGGAAAGGGTAGCGGTCTGGGTACCTATTCCTCCTCTGACGGATCGCCCCCCCCCCTCCTCCTCCTCCTCCTCCTCCTCCTCCTCCTCCTCCTCCTCCTCCTCCTCCTCCTCCTCCTCCTCCTCCTCCTCCTCCTCCTCCTCCTCCTCCTCCTCCCTCCTCCCACCTCCCTCCCCTCTCCAGGGAGCAGCCGCGACGCGGTCCCTCAGCTGCCGCTCCAGCGCCCGAAGGTTGGCGGCGTCGTCGGCGTCCTCGAGCCTCGGGCCGCGGCGCGCCCCCCCGCGCGCCGAGCGGGGGGCGCGGCGGGCCCCCCCTGTCGTGCGCCACGGGCCCAGGAGCTCGGCATTTTTTTTTTGGCTTGCTCTTGCCGTCCTCGGACTCGCCCTCGAGGAACTGCTCGAAGCAATCCTGGGCCTCCTCGTCCACGTCGCCGCTCACGGCGTCCTCCCCGTCCCCGATGGCGACGTCGCGCCGCTGGGCGACCGCCTCGAAGACTGAGGCCCTGGCTCCACTCACGGCGGCGTTCGCAGACGCTGCGGCGAGGCCCCGCGACCCCGCGTAAAAACAGCAGTCTCGGAGGACGAAGAGCCGCCATAAAACATCGACTTCTGGCGCTCCGCGCGAGTTCTTGGATCTGCGCTGGACCCCCCCCTTCCTGGCGCGCTCCGCGCGCCAGGGGCGGCGCCGGAGGCGCCGCCAGATGGGCCCCAGCGCGGAACCAAGAAATGCGCACGGAGCGCCAACAGTTTATGTTTATGGCGTTTCTTTTTCTTCGAACAGGTTTCTTCAGCTGCGTCGGACCTTGGGGCGGGGGGCACTCCTCTGGCGTCGTCGCCGAGCGAGGAACGGGCGTCGGAGATCCTTGGTCTGCGAGGTTCTGATTTTCTTCTCCGCCGCGTCGGTCGCGAACTTCGTCGCGCACGCCGTGACGACACTCACGTCCTTGCTGAGTAGCAGGCCGGCAATCTGGGCCTGCGCCAGTGGGAAACATAGACAGCAGCGGCACGATCATCTCCTTGGGGAGGAGCCGCGCTACCACACACGTCAGCTCCACCCCGCGGGAGCCAGGGTAGCCTCTGCGTCGCAGCTCGGCAACACGGCACGATGAGGCCATGCGTGGCCGAGGAAAAGATGGCCCACTCTACACGGGAAGGCGGGATGACCAGAGCAGAAACACACAAAGAAGTGCATTAATCAGAGCTGTTGGAGCTGGAGCTGTCCCCTCCAGTGCCCCCACACAAGTGGAGGATGACGAATTCCACCAGCCCTCTGGGCGTGAGTGGTTTAGAGGATTTCCTCTTCCAGCCTCCCTTCTTCCCCTTCTGGGAAGGGTTTGTCACTGCAATGCTCCCCACTAATCTACCCCCCCCCCAGGCGACTGGCAGCCAACCAGGAACAATGCCGACCACCATGATCACCCCCCTACCATCCCTGTCCAAAAACAATGCAAACACACTATGCCTCCAAATTCGGAGCACGCGCAGCCAACCCGATGCGTCCCCCCACCTTCCCTGTCAAAGACAAAACAACATACACCATGGGGCAAAATCTTGAGCCATGTTCGTGAGGCCCGCGAGCTTTTGACAGTGACGGCAGGGGTGTCAGCACAGTGCTCGCTGTGTGCAAGGCCACCATCCATTTCCAAAAAACAATGCAACATGCACCTCGCAGCTATACCTGGATCATGCGCGGCCACCCCGCGATCACTATCAAGTGGTTTTTTGTCAAGGACGGCGGGGGTGGTGGCGTATGGCCTGCGCAGGCCAACCAGACACAACGATGGGCATTGGCTTTCGGCAAGGATGGTGGGGGCCGACATATTTCCCGATGTGTGCTGTCACGTGCGCAAGCGCACCTGACACACTCTGCACGTACCCTGAACATGGCGCACCAGGCGCATCTGGAGTATGCAGCACACCTGGCGCACGTGGCGCATCTGGCGCACCAGGCGTGCCTGGCACGCTCGGGTCCCAGGGGTGCCTGGCACGCGTGGCGCGCCTGGCACGCGTGGCGCACCTCGCCCCAGCGTCGCGCACATGGGGTCGCTTTTGGTTCCTAGTAGCTGTCCATCCAACGACGACCGCTGAACATGCTGAGGCTCGGGTGCTACTTATGCGTTGGGAGGGCGGGTGGGAGTGATCGAGGCGGCTTGCGGGCGGGGAGGGTGTCTTGACCCCTACCCCATACGCCCTGCCCTGGACCTGGAAGAGAGGTGCTGAGACCGATTGGAACGTCCGAGAAGGTCTCGGCGAGAAGGCCTCCGCCAGAAAGCCTTAATGGGCCCTGGAAACGGCCAAGGTTTCTTTTACCGTTTTAATGTCTCACTTTTTATCAATTCTCAGAGACGTTTCGTTGACGTTTCTGGCGCCGTTGTTGTACCGTTCTTGCTTCCCCTGGTGGGGGCCTGGTCCATGTTTAAAGTTATCATTATTATGATTGTCATCATTATTCTGATGTTACCATTATTGTGATTATTATCATTATTATTCTTATCAGCATCATCGTCGTCATTATGATTATGATTATTATTATTATTATTATTATTATTAATATTATTATTATTACTGTTATTATTATTATTGTTGTTGTTGTTGTTGTTGTTGTTGTTGTTGTTGAACATTATTACTTCTAAAGAATAATTATTGTTGGGGCCCCTGGTGCACGACCCCCCCGCCGCGCCTAGGCCGCAGCCACATTTTCATCATTTTCGTGAGGAAGTCTCAGGCAAAACGGGTTGGTCCGGATCCGGTTGTGTTGTTACGATCGGTTTTCCCTTGCAAAAATAAGCTAAAGTGGACATTTCTTGTTCTAACATAACCAAACTTCAAGAATCCCTTGCAAAAAATAAGGTAAAGTGGACATTCGCGCGCGCAAGACGAAATCCTTCCAAAACCTTAGTGTTCGTAGCGATTTTAACATAAAAACATCAAAAAACCAATGGTTTTTCAACAAAAAATTGTCAAAATTCATCCCGCGCGCTCTTGCGGATTCGTAGGAAACCCAACACTTTTTAAACATTTCTGTCAAACGGGCTTTTGCGAGCAACTTTTTCGAACTTCTGCAACAACGGTTGCGCACCTGCCAGGGCCATCATCCCTGTCAAATAATACCATGCGGGACACATTCGTTTTTTCTTCGCGCGCGCACGCCGTCGTCGTCGGCCGCGGGGCCCTGAATAGTAGCCACGGTCGTCCGCATGCCACGAAGTGAAGTGTCCGAACGTCATAGGGCGGGAAGCTGGGTGTGGGTGGTGGCGAAGAGTCGTTTGGAAATTTGGTAGAGCTTGAACCGGCCCCCCCACAAAGTGGGGGTATTGCCCGCCTCCTATGAAAACCCTGGCACTGGTGAGAACGGAGTGTCCCCACGTGCTAGTAATTGTTGTTGTTGTTGTTGTTGTTGTTGTTGTTGTTGTGGTTCTTATTACTATTATTATTATTTTTATAATTATTATAATTATTATTATTAGTATTAGTATTCTTATTCTTCTTCTTATTATTTTTACTATCATTTTTATTATGATCGAAAACATGCGTTTTGTTGTTCTTGACACTTCCCCACCAAAATTTGTTCTACGTTTCCAGCGCCGTAGTTGTACCGTTCTCGTTCCGGTGGTGGGGGGCTGGTCCAAACGACATTTGTTTGACCGGATCCGAACTGTTTTCGAAGCGGCTCCATACGTCCTTCGGATCCTTGGACTGCCCAAACCGTTTCGGTGAACGACTTGTTTACCGCCTCGGTGAACATCTCTTGCTCTTCCCATGATCAGGAACCAGCTTATGGATAAGGGAAACAGCGCCTGGCAGTTTGCAGGACCCACTGAGACTCCTCCCCTCCCCGCCAAGGGGAGGATGCGAATAGGTTCCCCGATGGCTCCCTGGAGAACTGTAGCGCTGCAGAAATAGACGCCAGCACCGCAGGGTGGCCCCGGAGCCTGGCCTGGCTTCCGTGCAAAACCCCCGGCGCGAAGTGTCTGAAGCTGCAGCGTGTCACGGCAGGCCTTTCCTGAGCGCTTCCCAAAACGTCTGCCTGGAAGCTCTCCAGAAGCTCCCTCGGAGGCTCCCTCCAGGAGCTCCCGGAGCTCCCTCGAGAGGCCTTTGGACGGCCTTCTGGTGCTCCGCCATCCAGGTTCTGGACTGCACGAATTGCTTGGGAACGTCGAGGATCGAGAAGGTCGAGGATCGAGGAGGTCGAGGAAGGTCGAGGAAGGTCGAGGATCGAGGAAGGTCGAGGATCGAGGGGGAGGAGGAGGAAGGTCGAGGAAGGTCGAGGCGGCGACGGGGCGCCGACGGCAGCAGCACGCGCGGCGGCCGGCAGGCAGGCCCAGACCAGGGGCGGCGGCGGGGCGGCGGCGGCGGCATTCGCCAGGCCGGCAGACTGGCCCGGCGCCTTGGAATAGAAGCACTGCTTTTGGGAAGTACGCTTGCGGAGCTCCGCGCAAAACTTCTCGGATCGGCGCTGGGCCCCCCTGGATCGGCGCCTCCAGCGCCGATGCGGGAGATCCGCGCGGAGCTCCGAAAGTTACTGCTTGTGCATCTATGTTTGTTTCTTCTTCTCCTTGTCCTTCTCCTTCTCCTTCTCCTTCTCCTTCTTCTTCTTCTTCTTCTTCTTCTTCTTCGACAGTGAGCACCTGCACTGGACAGCCGCGGAACCAAGGGCCAGCGGGAAAGGGTTATGCGCGATCATGGCCCACTTGGCTCCCGAGATTTCGGCGCTGGTGGAGCCGCCGACTGGGAGACCTCGGGCCTGGCGCGAATCATGTGCGCGGCGCGGGCAAGGAACTGGCGCGACAACCTGCTGCCTTTAGCTAATTGTCGCCAGCATGGCATTGTACAATTACATGGGCGATCGACGCATCCGGGGCTCCAAGCTTGATCAACACAAGACGCCCAAGCATTGGGCATTCACCTCCTGAGCTCACCTTCGGAGGCCCCGCTCGCAAGCACTCCCTCCAACGTCCTGCGCGGGGAGGAAGGGGAGGCTCTGCCAGGCAAGGACGAGGGAAGGTCCCAATCCGCAGCAGATCTCGCTGGGACACCGCTACGTGTGCATACGGATGCTGGAAGCCCCTCGCCTGGGGGGGGGGGGGACCAGGGCCTTCTCGGCGGAGCGTCGCCCGAGGGGGCCAGCGGAGGAGCCCCTCGGCTCTGGCAACCTCTCTCCTTCCTTCTCCCTCCTCCCTCCTCCCTCCTCCCTCTCCCTCTCCCTCTCCCTCTTCCCTCCTCCCTCCTCCCTCCTCCTTCCTCCTCCCTCCCTCCTCCCTCCACTTTCCTTCCTCCTCCTCCTCCTCCCTCCTCCTCCTCCTCCTCCTTCTTCTCTTTCTCCTCCTCCACCTCCTCCTCCTCCCCAGCGGCGACGGCAAAGGTGCACAAAAGAGCCGAGGGGTGAACGACGGGCGAGGCAGGAGGATAGGCCACGGAGCCAGGCGCGGCGGGCGGGAGCCCGCACGACCCAGCACCGCAGCGGAGGAGGAGGCGGCGAAGCAGGAGCGGAAACCGCGGCGGCAGGACGCTCTCCAGAGAAACGCCGCGCCTTCCAGCGCCGCCGGAGGAGCACGGGCCCCCCCCCCCGCGTTCCGCCTGGAGGTCGAGGGGGGGAGGAGGATCGAGGAAGGTCGAGGATCGAGGAGGAGGAGGAGGAGGGTCGAGGAAGGTCGAGGAGCGAGGATGTTCGAGGAGCGTGGTCGAGGAGGAGGAGGGCCGGGGGGGGGGGGGGGGCTCGAGGAGGGGTGGCCAGCCGAACGCACTCCGGTGAGAGGACATCGACCAGCCCTGGCGTGCTGTCGTCCCCGAGGGGCACCTCGGGGCCAGGATCACTTCTGGCACCCCCTCCGAGCCACAGGGGCGGGATTCTCCCCTGCCGCAGGCGGAAGGGTGCAGTCATCGTGCTGCCACACGGAGCGCTGAATGAGGTACGGCGGGACTTTCCTGGCCGCGGCGCTCCTCGGCAACGCATACCCCCCTCCCCGACATAGACCCACGGAGCTGCCCGCAGACCAGAACCCCTCCTGAGCCCCAAGGGCCCCGAATGTCAGCGCAGTGGCTGTATGGCATGTGGCAGATTCGGGAAACCCTGCACCCAAGACTATTGCCATCCCTTTCTCTACTTCCGCCGCCTCCCGCCGAACTTTCGCCCGCGGAGGCGGCCTCGTTCTGCTTCCGCCAGCTTCCGTCGCCCTCGCCTTCCGCCGAGGAAGAGATGTCGACTCCTTCGATCCTCGAGGGCGAGGCCCGTTCTGGAACTCCTCGTGTCGGGGGCGGCCATGGGCAGGTTGAGTGCCAGGCACGTTCTGCAGCTTCTGCAGCGCATCGGTGGCGGCGCGGGCCTGCTCGGGAGGCGGGGCGGGGTGGTCCACGGCCCGCCCTCTCGCTGCGACGCCCCCTTTCCCCGATCGGGCGACGGCGACTGCCCCATGGTTTGCCGCGTGCGGCAACTGGATTCGGACGTCCGACATGGGCACGGAAACGCCGGGTACGATACCCAACGCCAAATGTTGTGCATAATGGACAGGAGACCGCTGTTGGGCAGGCGGCCCTCTGTCTCCAAGGGACAGCGTCCGCGGCGACACCGACAGCGGATCCAATTCAAAATGAGAAAGGCATGCGGTCGCTCTTCGTGCCCATTCTTTCCGTACCTGTTTCGATCGCACCGAAAGGAAATCTTCAGAGCTGCTTGGAGCGCTTCGTGCAGGCTCTGCACCTCAATGTTGCTCTGGGCGATGCATCCGGAGGTGCCGTGATTCTCTCCAAAATAAGACGCAGTGTGCAATGGCAATGAGGAGTGAACCTTCCAGAACCGCGGGAGCACAGCCGAACCGAACCGCTTGTGGTCCTGAACTTGAATCGGCTGGCACGTCTTCGTCGACGACGAACTTGTTAGAGTTTGCGCTCGCTTTCTGACAACAGTGACCGTGCGTTTTTGCTAGTGAGAACTGTTTGATGCATTATACCTGGCGGACTGCCAACAACCTGTTGCGTCGCAATAGCTAGCTTGAACCAGTGGGCCGTGTCGCGATCGGAATTTGCTTCTCGAGCTAGGTCGTCGCTTGTCGAATCAAGTCAATGACTTGGAGAAGCGCCACGTGCTTGAACGTCAACCTGGATGAAGACTAAACAGCATTGGCAAACAAGCCGTTCTCCTCGTCCCATGATTTTCCACTATGAAGCATCGCGCGAACAACCTGTGCGAACAACAACTCAGCCGATTGCGACACTGACATGCTCTCGACGTTGGCGGCGTTCGGAATGGCGTGGCCGGGGAGCGCGAAGGTGCCCATTCCTTCCTTTTGGGCCCCAGACCTGGCTAACAACGGCGCGTTCCCCCGAAATCCTCGACTCCAGCGTCGCACCTCGGCCGGTATTGGTCGCTGGCGTTTTGAAATGTACGCCAATTGCGTTCGCAGTGGGTGCGCGCTGGCTCTACACACCGCATGCAGTGCCGAGCAAGCACACTCTGATGTCAGTTTACGGCATTGAGGATACGCTATCGTGTTGCTGTTGTTACTGCTGCTGCTGCTGCTGTTGCTGTTGCTGCTGCTGCTGCTTCTGCTGTTGTTGGGCTCTCAAGGCTGACAAATCATTATTCTTGAACCCCCCTGCCTGGTAACCATTCGTATTTGTTCAATTACAGTGTTCATCCTGGTTCTCGCACCCTGTTTCTTACAAGAGATAGCTGGGGGTCACAAAATTGGGTCCCTGGCCCCCGAGATACAACAACAACGGCTCCCGCCTGGTACTTCTTCACAATTTCTTCCCAAATCGCGCTCTCGCGCGGGAGGTTCGCACAATTTAAACAGGGATCGCGCTCTCGCGTGGGACTTCCTCGCAATGTATTTAGGCGCCGCGCCCTGGACACTAAGGAATCACGCTCTCGCTCTTGATTCTTCACGATTCTCTTGGGCATCGCGCTATCGCCCGAGACTTCCTCGCGATTCATGCAGGACGCGCGCCTCAGCAACCCGCCTGCTCGACCTGACCACCTGGGCCCGCCTTCCCGACCCGCCCGTTAGGGTCTACCCGCCTGCTCTGCCCGTCTGGTTCTGCCACGTGTTTTCTGTTCCTAGCCCCCTCTCCTGCTACTCTCTCTAGTGCTCCATCCTCCTCCCTCCCCCTGGTCTCTTTCTTCCATCCGCCCTCTCTTCCCCTGAATGTGGGGCTGCACGACATACACGTTGTAGCTCAGAAAGATATACCCCTAAAGGGGTACGATCGACGACGGAAAGGGCGGGTATCGAAGGCTTGGGATACACATGTTGAGTGGCTCGCGAACGGATAAAAGCGATCAATCTTAAACTGATTGTTGTTGTTGTGGTTGTGGTTGCGATTGTGGTTGTGGTTGTTGTAATTGTTGCTGTTGATGTTGATTGTTGTTGTTGTTGTTGCTGCTGTTGTTGTTGGTATAACTGTAATCATGGTTATAGTTGTTGTTGCTGATGTTGTTGTTGAGCTCTCATTACTGAACATAAGTATTGTTGATCACCCCTCCGGTGACCATTGTGCTTTTTCAATTGAAGTGCTTCCCCAGGGGCTCGCACCCTGTTTCTCCCATCAAGAAAAATCGCAAGAGTCAAGCTGTGCCCGTGGCCCCTGGGTTACAACAACAACGGTTCCCGCTTGATATTTCTTTACAATTTCTTCCCAAAGCGCGGGAGGTTCGCACCATTTATACAGGGATCGCGCTCTCGCGTGGGACTTCCTCGCAATGTACTCAGGCGCCTCGCCCTCGACACTAGGGAATCACGCTCTCGCTGTTGATTTTTCACGATTCTCTTGGGAATCGCGATATCGCTCGAGACTTCCTCGCGATTCATGCAGGACGCGCGCTTCAGCAACCCGCCTGCTCGACCTGGCCACCTGGGCCTGCCTTCCAGACCCGCCCGTTAGGGTCTACCCGCCCGCTCTGTCCGTCTGGTTCTGCCACGTGTTTTCTGTTCCTAGCCCCCTCTCCTGCTACTCTCTCTAGTGCTCCATCCTCGTCCCTCCCCCAGGTCCTTTTCTTCCATCCGCCCTCTCTTCCCCTGAATGTGGGGCTGCACGGCATACACGTTGCAGCTCAGAAAGATATGCCCCTAAGGGGCTGCGATCGACGGCGGAGAGGGTGGGTATCGAAGGCTTGGGATACACATGCTGAATGGCACGCGGACGGATAAGAGCGACCAGTGTTGTTGTTGTTGTTGTGGTTGTAATTGTGGTTGTTGCTGTAGTTATACCTATAGCTCTTGTTGTAGTTGTAATAGTTGTAGTAGTTGTTGCTGTTGCTGCTGCTGCTGTTGTTGTTGTTGCTACTGCTGCTGCTGCTGCTGCTGTTGTTGTTGTTGTTGTTGTTGTTGTTGTTGTTGTTGTTGTTGTTGTTGTTGTTCAACCCCTCTGGTGACCACTGCTTCTTCAAATGAAGTGCTTCCCCTGGGGCTCGCACGCTGTTTCTTTCATCGAAAGAAAATCACATGGGTCAAACTGTGCCCTTGGCCCCCGGGTTACAACAACAACGGCTCCCTTTTGATACTTCGTCGCAGTTTAGCCAGAAATCCCGCTCCCGCCTGAGACCCCTCGCATTTTACTCAGGAGTCGCGCTCTCGCTTGGGACTTCCTTACAATGTATTCAGGCAGCGCCCTTTCGGCGCTCTGGAGTCGCGCTCTCGCTGGAGACTTGCGTGCCACTTACTCAAGAATCGCAATCTTGCGTTGGATTTTCCCGCAATGCACTCAAGCGCCGCGCTCCGACACTCAGGCACCCAGGAGTCGCGCTCACGCCGGAGACCCCCTCGCAGCTTATTTGGGAGTCGGGACCTCGCTGTCCTTCGTGGCCACGTTGCAGCCTTTCATGGCCCCCTCGTTGCCTTTCGCGGCCCTGTTGCAGCCCCTCGTGGCCCCCTTGCTGCCGTTCGTGGCCACGTTGCAGCCCTTCGTGGCCCCCTCGCCGCGCTTCGTGGCCCCGTTGCAGCCCTTCGTGGCCCCCTCGCTGCCCTTCGTGGCCCCGTTGCTGTCCTTCGTGGCCTCCTCGCTGTCTTTCGTGGGCTGCCCTTCGTGGCCCCGTTGCAGCCCTTCGTGGCCCCCTCGCTGCCCGTCGTGGCCCCGTTGCAGCACTTCGTGACCCCCTCGCTGCCCTTCGTGGCCCCGCCCTTCGTGGCCACCGCTCGTTCGCGACCGTCGTGGCCCTATATGCATGCCCTTCGTGGCCCCGTTGCAGGCCTTCGTGTCCCCCTCGCTGCCCATCGTGGCCCCGTTGCTGCCCTCAGTGGCCCCGTCCTTGCCCTCTGCGGCCCAATATATGCATGCCCTTCGTGGCCCACGCTCGTTCGCGCCCGTCGTGGCCCCATATGCATGCCTCTCGTGGCCCCGCCCTTTGTGGCCCCCTCGCTGCCCTGCGTGGCCCCCTTGCTACCCTCAGTGGCCCCGTCGTTGCCCTCTGTGGCCCAGCATTATTTTCCCTTCGTGGCCCCTTCGCGTTCGCGTTCTTCGTGGCCCCATGCGCATGCCCTTCGTGGCCCCGCTGTTGCCCTTCGTGGCCCCCGTGCTGCCCTTCGTGGCCCCATCACTGTCCTTCGTGGCCCCGCTGTCGCTGTCGCTGTCGCTGTCGCTCTCGCTTTCGCTCGTCGTCGTCGTCGTCGTCGTCGTCGTCGTCGTCGTCGTCGGTCACCTGTCCGTCCCTCTCGGGGTCGGTTTGCCGCCGGTCAGCGCTGCCGCTGGCCAGGCCGACGGTCCGCGGCCGCCCCGCCGCTTGTCGGGGCACGGCCTGCAAGGGGTACGATCGAAGACGACGAGGGCGGATATCGAGGGTTTGGGAAACATGCGTTGAATGACGCTCGAGCAGATAAGAGCGAACAGTCTTAAACATTTTGTTGCTGCTGCTGCTGTTGTTGTAGAACTCTCACTACTAAGAAATAATCATTGTTGATCCCCCCCTCCGGTGACCAAGTCTTTTTTGTGTGTTATAAGGGAAAGTCACGGGGTTCAAACTACGTTGTTGGCCCCGAATTTACAAAAAAAACAGCGGCTCCCGCCTGATACTTCCTCCAAATGTACTCCCAAATCGCGCTCTCGCGCGGGACGTCCTAGCAAATTGTATACGGATCGCGCTCTCGCATGGGAGTTCCTCGCAGTTTATTCACACGACGCGCCCTCGGCGCTCATGAATCACGCTCTCGCTTCTGCTTCTCTCACGATTTACTTGAGAATCACGCTATCGCTCGAGACTTCCTCGCGATTCATGCGCGGCGCGCGCTTCAGCAACCCGCCTGCTCGACCTGGTCGCCTGGGCCCGCCTTCCCGACCTGCCCGCTATGGGTCTGCCCACCCGATTGCCCGTCTGGTTAAATCATTTGTTTTC